AATTTCATGGGTACATTTTTTGCAAAGATCACACTGTATACAACCTTGATCTAGTATTTCCAAAGGAATAAGCATCAACATAGTTAGAATAAGCATTTATTTAACTTATCTAGTGTAAAAATGCTTTTGTTACCCCAATTTACTCTTTCAAAAAAACCAACAACTAGAGAAAAAACTTTTGTTATGAATATTTAAACTCCTGATAACGACATAGTAAAAATCTAGGTGATGGCTGATCATACATCTTTTTCCCTCTACTTTCAAATATTGTTGTTAAAAATTTCCAACTTTACTAGTTTTTGAGATATTGGCGCTGAACCTTTTTACCCGCGGAACTTTATGCCCCGCTTTACACTACTTAATTTTTTTTTAATTAAATTTAAATTGGCCTGCTTTGAAAAGCTCTTCTTTAGAAAATGTACTAAAATGGCATATTTTTTAAAAAGTTGGCGCATTTAATCAGGATTGTAAAATAGTGAAATAGTTAATAGTTTCATAATGAAAAAATCGAGTAAAAAATAAAAATCTTTAGTTAGATCATTTACTATAATAGAAAATATCTAATATTATATCAAATATTAGGTATAAGAATTTTTTTTATTGTTTAAGGGTACTTATTATAATATTTTACTCAGAATACTATACATACTATAGTAAGTGTTACTTACACTTTATACTAAGGATTACAATACTAGAATTAATTAAATTGTTTTGTTCTCATATTTTTGTATCTATTTTTTTAAAGAATGCACATACATAAGTATTAATAATCTCTATGTATGTATTTAGTATTTATTACTATTTTATTTCAGTCAATATTTTTACTATCTTACAATAGTATTGCTTTCATGAATATTTTTTATAACAATTATTCCATTCCAATAGTAACAAATATGTATGTATACGGAATATACAATACAATTTTTTACTGAAAAATGTTCATATTATTTATATTTCACAAAAACTACAAATTACCAAAAACATTATTAGACCATCGTAATTAGTTCAAAACAATATTTTCGATTTCTATTATTAATGACACAATACTCATATTACGCTTCATAATGACACAATTCGCATGTAGCAACTAAAATAAAGTAGTACATAGGTTTTTCTATCGATACAAATAGTAACTTTAAACTACTTTTTTACAAAATTTCAACACATCTTTGATATTTTGCAACATGTGAATGTATCGAGAAGGTCGATCATAAATCATACTAGGTACATTTATGACAGAAGTTCTCTCTTCTCGTATCAGCAGATTGCTTTTTTTTACTCTTGTTCGATTATAGCAAATTATACCTAAGGCTATAAAATTTATATCTATAAATATGAAATTTACACTTCTCAGCGATATGAATTACCAACATATGTATATAAGTATTTAATAAATATCTTCAAACTTAAAGTTATATTTATTAGCAAATATTGTTATAACTATAAACAAAGACATAGTAAAGCCAGAACATCACGATTTTTAGTTGGTAGTGCCAAAAAAGTTGAAATAAGTTAGAAACTTTATAAAACAATTATCGTTGCTAAATAGTAGCTTTTAATTAATATTTTATGTAAATCACTATTTTGTATTCATTGTCTTAATTTCTATAGCATAATGTCTTAGTGTCTTTTTAAGACTGGCAACTTCAATTTAAGAATTTATAGACATGTCTCAAATGATTTATGAAACTAACTAAAAATTTTGCATTTTTGGTTAAACCCGAACTCATAGTTAATTATAGAAATAAGAAGATGCACATAAATTACACAAGATATGTGACTTTTTATTTGAATTTGTAATTTGAGTTTTTTTATCAATGAAATTGCGGAAGAATCTTCTAATCATCTTAGTAATTAACATTTTTTATCTAATCGATTCAAAGAAATTGCTAATGAAGTATAATTGTGTAATTAAATGGCCAATACATTGAATTGAAATTAATAAAAAATACTAGAGGCACTTGAATAAAATACTGGCAATACGTTTCGACACTTGATATAAGTCATCAATTAACTATATTCATACAAAACTATGAATAAATATAGTAACAACAGAATGATATAAATTCAATAAAAATAATGTATAAAAATTATATTATTATATAGTTATAGGGCAGGGTAGGGCACAAGGGTTCAATTTGATTATGAGTTATTATATTGTGAAAACCAAACCAATTAAATTATAACAAATAACATGTATCAAACAAACAACTATCTGACTATGCTCAGTAAAACGCCCAACTACATCAACATTGTAGAAATGTGTTTTTCAAAAATTAGTAACCTGGTCCCTTTTACCCCATAGGCGGAGCAAACTGGGATGGTCAGGGGACAAACAGATCACATGTCTTACTTTTAAGTTTTTAAAATATTTTACGAAATAATAGCTACGTTATTCAACCAATGCAAAATATAAATTTCATGAGCACATTTTGTTCAGAGATAACACTGTAAATAACCTTGATCTGGTATTTATTCAGAAATATTGAAATTGGAATAACTATTTATTTAACTTGACTTTTGTGAAATTGCTTTTGATAACTTAATTTACTAAATTCACTATATTTTACTTAAGATGCAGTTGATCCCTTTGTATCCCAGATGTGAGCTTTTATAGAAGTTTTATAAATAAAGTGTGAAATTTAACTTAAAAAAACAATACATCTCATGAAACAATTGAATAACGTATATCTAACAGTTATATTCAAGTCTCGTAAACTAAACAACAGTACTCACAACCAAAAAACCTAAGAACAAAATAAAATACTTTTGTTGTATATTTTCAAACATAGCTGTTTATCTCCCGACAGCGACGTCGTAAGAATCAAGGTGATGGCAGGCTATACATCTTTTTCCCTCTACTTTCAAATATTGTCAATAAATAATTCTTGACTTCCCTTGCTTTTGAGATATTGGTGGTGGACTTTTGAGCCCCGCTCTATCTTAGCAAATTAACTTAATAGCAAAATTTTACAATAAAAAAATCTAACTTTATATGATTTTGATAACTCTATATGCTAGCAAAAATTACCCCTGTAAAAAATTCTTTTTTACCCCTGTAAAAAATTGCTATTAAAACTTCTGTAAAAAATGCGATAATTTGGTGCTCATATGTTATGAACTTATTTTAGTTCTTAATTTTTTGCACTATATAATTGCTCCAGAATCCTACATTAAGTAAAAAATCAATGCTTAAAATCCTATTAAATTGAAATCTTTCAAATTTATAATTAATATTATTTGTAAATAAAAGCGATAGTGAATTTCATAACCATCCCAACCAAATTCGTAACCAAAATATGAAATAATATCGATGATTATTATATTCGTGCCGCTGTTCAATTAAAACTTATAACATCGCGGATACATCAAGACTTTTTTTTAGTTTCATATTATAAATTTACTAAATCCATTACCTTTGTACACTTAGAAAGTTGGCATTTGCAATAAAACAGTTTTTATCAAACAATTAAATCAAAGTTAGCGCGCCCAAAAATTTCTATCGCAACGATTACAGAACAATAAAAACCGGGCGGAGAAATTTCAATGTTTTTTTTGCAAACTTTGCAATAAAATATGGTTTTCAAAATAAATTTTAATTTATGATAGCGAAAACCTTATTTATGATTTTTGTGTTTGCATTTATTTAGTTACTCAAACGAAGGAATTATTTCTTACATTTTATATTAATGTTAATGAGAATAGCAAGGTTGATTATGAATGGTAATAATTTAAAAATAAATATGTAAACGTAAGTTTATAAAAACAGATAAGAAAAAGCACAAACTGTTGAAGCGGCAAGGAAAATATAGCTTATGTTATATAGAGTACATTTTTTGCAATGAATGAAATACATAATTGTTAAATATCAACAATCACTTATTTTTTAGATGTACTTGGTATATATAGTATAAAAATATCGTTTATGTATAGTAGTAATAGTAATTAATAAAGTACTAATGCAGTTACTAGATAGATACATATAAATTCTTATAGATAAATTTCCTAAATAGATATATATATTTAAAATATTTACAAATAGTTTCATGTGTTGTGTGAAATTAAAAATAAACAATACTTATTGATAATATCATAGCTGCTTGCTAGTATATATATCACATAAATTTGCCTAAAAATCTTATTAAAAATTGTTAAAAATAATAAAATAAAACTATTTAGGCTTCTTAAACTTTTGTCCTTTTTGACCCCATTTACCATTGCGAATTTTTAGGCGACCCCACTTATGATTGCGAGTTTTTTTGATGACCCCACACATATAAAAAAAATATTATTTTTAAATGATTTGTTTATTTGGTAACAATATACATATGAAAATATATAATTTGAGAATTTGTTGAGAACATACAAAAATATAGACATGTTATAAAATGATATAAATATTTTACATTAAAATCTTTTACATCCCAGATTTTTTCCATGCGACCTCATTTGCGGTCGCGACCCATAGTTTAAAAAACCCTGATTTAGTTTCATGATTATTCTATTATTTTTACACTTATTTCGATCTTCAATTGTAAGTATCAATATATACATATATCTTCACATATAATCAACAGAAAATTCATTCTTTAAAAAAATGACTGATATTTGCAAGACCAATTAAAATATGCCATATGAATTTTTTTGCTTTTTTTTGATTTTCATAAATTTCAATTACTAGAACAATATAGATTACAAATACAGACTTTTTCTTATGTTTCTGTAAAAATTTAATCAAAGAGAATTTATTCCTAATTTTTGTATTCATAAACTGAATAACATTTTTAGAATTTATTTAAATGATAATAATTTGCTTGTTTTTCATCATTTATTACCGAAACTTTTAGCTACATATGTTTGACTTTGAAGTTCTTGAAAAAATGGGTACTATACATAAAACTGGGTACTATATATAAAAATGTTTTGTCTATGCCAATTATTGTTTTTGTAATTTTTTATATAAAAATTAATGTGTATTTTATTTTTTTTATTCTTTTCAGAATTTAAGGCTGTGGAATGGTTCGTTAAGTTACCATTACTGGCAAAAGCCAGGTGTAGTCCGTTTAACTAAAGTTTACATCTTCAATATTACGAATCCAGACGGATTCCTCAATGGAGAAAAACCAAAGCTAGCAGAAGTTGGACCTTTTGTATACAGGTAAGAATAACAGTCTACTGATTTTTGTTAATTGGGCCTATTTATGTTATTAATATAATATACTGGTTATCCAATAAATTACTTCATGGTTCACCAATTTTAAGTATCGTTTAATTCAAACTATATATTTTGGTATTTCCGATTCTGGTACCCAGGTAATGTCACATGAGTTATTAAACTTGGAAAACTCGATATAATATTCCACGGACGAATGAGTGCATCACCTGAGTAATCAAAACGATCATCTATTACAATTAATAATAATTTATTGAGCATTCCGTTAAATTAAGTAACCAAAGTGGTGTTTAGACAAGAGTTAATCGAACATTAGAAAGTTTTCGCTCAAGGACGTATGTGCGCTGATTTGAAGGCAGTTCAGAAGTAACCATTAGACCGGTGATAGAGTTTGCGGTAATTGAATGTATGCATGTTTCTCTCTAGTTGAAGTCAATTTCTGTGTTACTCTAGTAAAGATTAATAGTACCAACTGATTTTGACTTTATATACAGTATGCAGTTTTCAATGAATTTATTTTGACTATAAATGAGGTGATTTCAATAGTATCTATTTGCTTTTTCCATAGACTGGGTACGGTTGTACCATTTTTCTATCATCAATCAAGTTTTTAGTGTTAGTTTGAGTTTTGCATTCTGTCTTTTTTTATTATTCGTTTTTTCTTTATTCCCGAAAAGGACAAGAAATACACGTTCCAATCGTACCCAACAAATTTGTCACAACCGTACCCGATGCACACTTTTGAAAACAAATCATTATCTACGTAAACACTATTTGCTGGTAATTAACTACTAATGGTTCATTTTACAACAAAATAACAAACAAAGTGATCTATCTGTATATAAGTAAAGTATTTACTATAAATTATTATTAAAATAAATCGAAATCTATATAAGCGACTCTATAGAAGCAATACGGTCAATAGATTATGCTCATGTCCGGCGCTTACTCAATGCAAAAATGGAAACTTGTTCGAACAAACATACTTCATCTTTTTTTTTGGACTCTATCTCAAAATCAGTATTGTTTAACTGTTATGACAACTGTGATTTGTCTTTCATTTAGATATTATGAATTAATTTGGTAGAACAGGGGCAATTATAACAATAATGTAACTATTAGATTCCTGGTATTTAAAACTCCAAACTTCAAATCTATTGGACTACAGGAGTAAGTAATCGAAATTCGGAAAAAAATTAACGTTAAAGTTACGCAAAATAATAATTTAGATCGTGGATTTGTATTTCCGTATATTTATTATTTATATTTAATCAAGGTTATTATTAAAATTAAAAATGAATGATCAGATTAAAATGTTAAACTTCACTTGAAAAATTGGTAAATTTGTTATTCTACATATTTTTATATGTTTTATATGTATTGACTTATATTTTGCATCAGACAAAAAAGGGATAAAAACATCTTCAATTATGCTATTCAATTTTAAGTATTTAATTAACTATAACGTAGAAAAAAAAACATACAAAATAAGTGTATATATTTAAAACTCTTAATTATCTAATGAAAACAAAAATCATTGAACATAACACAGGATTGTGTGAATTCACTATTTGTCTTTCGAAACCTTAGTCCAAACTTGAAATAAAAATACTCGTCTTCATTATAAAATAATGATATTTAATTTAATTAAAGCAATAAATCTGGCTGGCATAAAAAATTTAAAACATTATTACGATTATGTTATCCTTCAAATAGTGCGAATCATTCTACCCAATAAAACGACAGATTTTTAGCAAACTCATAAATATTTTTATTGTACATTTAATAACAGTATTTTGAATTATCGAATAAAAAAAAGTAAATGTGCATCTGATATTTTCAATCGTCTGAACAAATAAATTAAATTTTATTTTAATTTGACATGCAACATAAAAGATCTATTGAGACCGAAAATAACAATGTATATGATGGGTTTTTGGAGGTTACATTTGCTTAAATTATGGCAATAAAAAGACATCATTAATTGGTACATTGTTTATTTATGAAGCTACACGTAACTATATTATTGTCAAATGCAAACTGATACTTAAGAATGACCGTGAAAATATTTATTAGGCAAGCATTTTTTAGTTAATTTGGAATATCACTTCATTATAATACCAATAAATTTAAATGATTATGTTGAAATGCTACATTAATATTATCAAAATAGATAATGATATAAATAAATATTATACAAAATAATTATGTGCTCCAATAATGAAGGCTTAATAAAAGACAGTATTATTAAAATACTGAAATTAAATATTATATTAATTAAATAGAAGCCAGTTATTGAATAAAACCGTATTTATCAATTATCAAGATAAAAAAAATAGTTATACTGACGTCCATATGTGTATAAATTTATAAAAATAATTATCATCCTTTTAGTTATTTAAATGCAATTTTTCATTAGAAGTTCTATATTCAAGCCAATAATTTTTTAAGTTAAAATTAATTTTCAAATAATTTCAAATCAATAATTTATAAGAAGAGGTAGCGTTTAGCTATGAATCGATTAATTATGATATCTTATAATTCGATAAATATTTTCAAAGTTTTTTTCAAATGGCGAATTTTTGATGGTCAAAAAATAATAAAGTATAAATGAAAAGGATAAAAGATAAGGATACCTGAAATTCACAAAATATGTGCGTTCGGAAGAAAAGTATCTTCTAATGATATAGCTATAAATTCAAAAACAATCTGGTAATTGCTCTAAATGAGATGAGATATCGTTTTACTTACTTTTCTTAATTTTATTGTCGGAAATTATGAGTAAGTGATAAATACATAATATTTCAATTATTTATAATTATACGTATAAACTATTTTTATAACATGGTGTGAATAATAAACTGATGGAATTCCAATAGTCGTCCCACACGCACTGTGTGTATAAAACAATTAAATCATAAAATCTTAAGCTGCAAATAGTAATTAGCACTATTTTAAAAATACCTTATTTACAACAAATCAAATTTTCCACGTGTCATACAATACAAAATATGAAATTCTTCACATGTTTATGTCGAAGATGCGACGTTTAATACGCAATTAGAAATTTCAAAAAAAGCTATGCACGTGTGGATAATAGTTTCATATTATCGAGTGCAGTCAATCAATAAAAAAAGGTTTGAAAAAGATGAAGATGTATGGAAATTATAATGCTGGTTATTGTCTAGATAAGATAGAACAGATTTGCGTCATGTTTTTTCACGAACTTATTCTATGAACTTACATATGCAAATGTTAATATATGCAGTCGAGATCGAGATCTGTGACGCTATGAATGCATCCCTCATATAGCACAATGATCAACAAATTTCAATTTGATAATTGAATTTAAAAACTAATGTATGTGATAGGATATGTTATTATGATATGGCGGATGATAAAAGGCAAAATGTGTCTTTTGCGTTTTAAGATCCCTTGATTATTATGATTCCTTAGAAAAAGGGATGTCTCTATATACCTATAGACTGATTTAAACGTTCAGTTTGTAGTTATTTAAAAAGAATTATGGATTTTTTTTGTCCATTTATATTATTCAATATATTATACATTTTCTATAAAATATTACCCACCTACTAAAAATTATAGTAAAAATTAGGACACAGAACTCTGATTTCCTTTCAGACCAAATAAATCTTTTGCCTTTTAGGACACCACGCAGATGCATGACCACGTTTCATTAAAATAGGTAAAATCTTCAGGTAGATTTTACTCTTTAGTGCTCTTAGGTTTACTAAACTAAAATAAAAACTTATTCATGCGTTTAATTATTTAAATTTCTAGTTTATAAAATATATTATTGAAATAATTTATGAATAAAGTGGACATAAAAATTTACAAATCTCATTACAACAAGCTATAATGATAAATTTACCAAAATAATTGTACTATAATAATGAGGAAAATCACAAAATTTGTACCCTACAATATATTGCAAATTTTAGATTTCTATTGAAATATTTTGCATTTGTTGCACTAAAGGTGATTCAAAAGACTCGAATCTGGGTCAATTAAATTTTTAACATATTTTTACATTTTTCATAATTAGTATAATTTAAAATTTCATAATTTTATAATTTAAAATAATAAACTAGTGGGGTGGGTGGCATCGTGCCTTAAGGCAAATTGCTGGAACTTCCCGTACCGTAACGAAATGTTCGAGGAATATTGAATGTTTTCAAATAGATTATTATAAATATTGTAACATTGTCTAATATTTATAAGAATTATATAAACTGAATTGCAGAGTTGAAATTATTTGTTTAAAGTATATTAGAACTATAGTCAGAATTAAAAATAAAATCTGAATTATTTTCGATATACAAAAAATTTAAAAAATTTAAAAAAAAAAAAAAAAAAAAAATTGGTACAACATTTTTTTTTCCAAAATCAATTATTTTGTTAAGACAAGCAGAAAGTTCTTTGAATCAATTGAATCGGACGCTTAATTCTCTCAAAAACTGCCATTTTTTGTACATTTAGCTCTGTATCTCCGAAATGGCTGGACCTGCCTTTGCGAAAAACTAATAACCCCTTCTCCCAATCATTACTAATTGAATGTTTTTTAGATCATTCAAATCGGATGCTCCGTTCTCTCAAAAACTCGATTTCTATTTTCTGCACTCTTTGCTCCTTATCTCCGTAACTGCTGGACCTGCCTTTGCCAAAAACTAATCAGCTCTTCTTCTTATCAATAGGAATCGAATGTTTTTTAAATTATTCAAATCGGTTAATCCGTACGCCCGAAAACGTGGGCGAAAATTTGTATCCATACATACATACACACACACACACACACACACACACACACACACACATCCATTTTTTCTGAGGTATGCCAAAACGTTCAGAAACCTTCGGCGAGCTCTAGGATATAAAACGGCAGTGTTGTCGGTTTCGTTAACTCTGGTTTCCCTTCAGAGCGAATAAATCTTTCGCCTTTTACTAAAGATTTCCGTGGAGGGGAGCACTCAAATGAGTCTAAACTGAATTTTTTGTGAGCCCGGCATTTATTTGCTGGGCCAATAATCTGTATAATAAAATTAGAAATAATTTATTGGTCGTGTCCAATTCTTAGCGGCATCCACCAATTGAAGCGTGGCTTGTCAATCTTTCTCTTTCCCTTGTGTTTCGTGTAATTATTATAGTCTAAGAGCCAGTGAACTATTTGACTAACCTGTTTTCTCAAAGCTAGAATTTTTTTTAATGATATTTTATTATCGGTACATTAAGAAAGTGCCGGTCTGGCAAGCATTTAACGATTTAACGATTGAAAAATTGAAGAAACCAGAGTTTGTATACCCGCGCATTGCGCACTGCTATCCGATAGAACGAATTCTATACGGGCTACTATTAGCGTTACGCGCGGTGTACTGTGCATAGAACTCGTTCGATCGGATAGCAGTGCGCGATGCGTTACGCGCGGGTATACAAACTCTGGTTTCTTCAATTTTTCAATGTGTTCCACAAATTTGATTTGAACAATTTTTGCAGTACTAAAAGAAAAAACAATAGGCTTTCGAATAACGCTAATAAGAAAGTAATTGAACAAAACGCACTATCCGAAAACATTAATTGAAAAATTATTTTATCCTTTTTAGCTAATAATAAAGGATTATTTAGCATATATTACTATACATTAAGCGGCCTAAGCCAATATGAGTAGAATCACGTAATTTTTTTTCGATATCTTTTATGGTTACGCCAAAAATTGAATTTGAAAAAGGGGCCACTTTGGCATATTTTCAATGATATCTCGGCCATAAGGTGAGATACAAAGTTGAAGTTTAGTATATCGGATGTTTTCAAAATGACCTTCAAAATGGCGTATAAATTATTCAAATACAAGGGTATTAGTCGATCATGTATGGCAATGCGCCCACACCCTTGCGCGTCGTGACTATTATGTACTCGTCTGGCAGACCCTTGCAATCGTCAGAATGGTCTGGCTTTCTACATATGCTTTCTGAACAGTTACAAGAATACTCCCTCAAAATTTGAGCCTTGTGAAAGCAAGTTAAAAAAATGAGTTTTTTTACATTTTCAAAAACTCGAGGGATGATGACGCAATCGCTAAATGCTTGCCAGACCGGCACTTTCTTAATGTACCGATAATAAAATATCATTAAAAAAATTTCTAGCTTTGAGAAAACAGGTTAGTCAAATAGTTCACTGGCTCTTAGACTATTATTAATTTCCCGTAGGGCAAGTTTTAGTAATCGCAAAAAAATCGAAAATGAAATTTTTTATATATCTTTACATTTTAGAGGTTTCTGAACATTTTGGCATACCTTTACAATTAGAAAAAATGGATGTATACAAATTTTCGTCGACGATTTCGGGAACACCGATTTAAATAATTCAAAAAACATTCGATTCGTATTGATAAGGAGACGTGCTGATTAGTTGGCAAAGGCGGGTCTAGCCGTTCCGAAGATACGGGGCAAAAAGTGCCAAAAATGGTAACCTCAGTTTTTAAGAGAACGGAGCGTCCGATTTTAATAATTCAAAAAACATTTTACTTGTATTAACAAGATGAAGAATTGTATTGTATTAAGCAGATGAAGGCAGGTTTAGCGGTTTCGGAGATCTAATAAAAAATTTTAAACAATGCCATTTGGCGGTCAAAAATGATCATTAGACATATGCACATCAAATTATCAGATATTTTATAAAGATTTTAACAATAAGTATAAATTTTGTTTACATTCCTATGGGTTCCGTACCAATGTTTATCCGTTTTAGGGCGACGCGGCGCTTACGCGTTACGACGTTTCGTCTCTATGCAGTCAAAGCAGTACGAAAAAAAGTTCAAAATTTCCAAAATATGTCAAAATAAAGAAAACATTTTTTTTAAAAAAAAGTAATTTTTTGTCGAATTTATAGTTTCTCAAAAATCTAATTTTTTCGAAGTAATTTTTTTTCAAAAATGTTAATCGTTTTTTAAAAAAATTATAATTTTTGGTACAGGAAGTTCCAGCAATTTGTCTTAAGGCACGATGCCATGCGCCGCACTAGTTCATTTATTAATTACATTACATTAAATGTGTCACTATAAATGTACTGATGTATAATAAAATATGTAATGAAGAATAATACCCAAGGGTAGATTTATGTATGAATTCTCCATTATGTATTATACATTTTATATATTAAATATATATTTTTGATTTGAATTGAATCGCAATACCTACGGGTAAAATGTTCAAACGAAAAGTTGACAAAATGTTATGTATACATATTTATTGAAATATATGTTTTTGAATTAAAATGTTAACGATATCAGATCATTTATATATCTAATTCTTCCAATTACTTTCAAAATTCTATTCAGATGTTTAATCCGGATGCATCTAGAAATCGCGTTTCGGCACTTTACATTCTAATCAATATTCGTATTTCGAGTTTAATTTCATCTTAATTATAATTGAGCTGGAATATTTTAAATATATAAATTATGCTAATATAGTAGTAGATATTATTTAACTTTCTACTTATAAGTTGATTAAATAGTTAATTAGTCACTCTCTTCAATTTATTCAAATTCAATTACTAAAAATGTCTATCTATTTTTGTTTCATTCAATTTTTCAAAATAAATTAATTATAAGATCTGTACAACATTCATTATCTTCTAATTTTAGTTAAGCATTATATTTATATAGGTATATATATAAGTATTCCAAATTTCTTTGTTTACTTTGATTACTTGCTTGCCTCTCCGTGGTTTGGTGTTAAGAGCTCTGATCATGCAACGAGAGTTCTTGGTTCAATACCCACTTCTGACTACCGGATATCAAGTAGTAGTAGTAAGGGATTTTACTTGAAAATATAGATCTAAAATAAGTTTACAAGTGAAAATAATCTTTCTTCGGCATTATGATAATATGAAATATATATCATCATTATACATAAAATTTCATTTAATTTAAAAACATGTATTTCCCTATATAATGTTACATCGAGTTTTAAACGCATATTTTTCACTATATTAGCACTTTAAGGGTGTTTCACTATATAAAATAGCATGTTAAGGATGTTAGAAGAGTTTTGTAGCCTCAGGTATTACACTTTTTTGTAAATTAGATGATTAAATTCAATTCAAATATATTTTATTACATTATGTAGGGTATGATATAATATAATTAAGTACATATTTTTTACCCCATGAATTATATATGCTGTTACAAATGATTTTATATACAATGGTATATGTATTATATCGAACATTCTAATAATAAAATATATCAAATATGGATAGATTTACTTCTAAAAAGCTATGTAGTTGAGTAATATCATCAGCTATTGTAATGATACTACTATACTATCTACTGAGACTTTTAATAAGTTCCTTACTGTTAAAAGTCAGGAACTTGGTATTGCCCGGTCCTAAAAATGCACTTCTTTTGTTATTTTATCTATGAGTACAATTTCTAAAAATTTCTATCTATTTCTGCCTGAAAAATCTTGAATATAAAAATCTATTTCGATTATAAAGAGAATGACAAAACTTTCGTTTCAATGTAATTTGTTACTGATTTGATGACCTTACACAAAACCGACCATAAAGATCTATACTATAGCCTTGTATTTCGGAGTACATATTCATTACAGTACAAATTTAATTTACATTTTATTTCCCAGAAACGATATCATTTCAATAAAAACAACAATATGTAGTACTTTTCCAAGCATATTACAAATTCTTTGATCAAGTGTTCACCTGTCTTTCAAGTATGAATTTGATTTATCTATTAATTAAACATAAAGGTAACAACATCTAATTTAAACAATAATTTTCTATAAATATTCGATAAATTTGCATAAACGCTGCAAGTGAAGTAAATAGGATGTGCAATATGTGACTATGATATTAATCATTATCAATAATGTGCTAACATTGAATAAACAACCTAGCTATCCTTAAAGCCAAAGAAATAGAAATTTACATGATTAAATAATTATTTCAATAATAATCATTCATCCCAAGGCTTTGTATAATATAATCAATTAAACAACCGAATTGATTTATTGGCTTCCAACTATAGTAATCCTAGAAGTGGAATATTAAATGTTGGTAAAATGTTTCTATTAGATAATAGCTTGAAATATAAAACAATTGAAATATGCACTTAGATTAATTTATTTTGGATAATTACAAAATACTGTGAAAATTTAAATATTATTAATTTCCGAATTGTTTACCTAAACGATTTTAAACGGCTTTACTTCTCGAAGACGCTTTCGTTCTGCCATTTTAATATAACTTCACCTATTTTTCTATCAATTATTGTAGAATAAAATTGTAAAATCATATTTACTAAAATGTAATCAAAGTTTTTGATTTATTATCTTATTAGGTTCAAAGATAATAATTATTGAAGTTTTATATTCATTATTTTTGAAACTCCTGTCTAAACTGTTAAAAAAGAACATAATTTCTAAATAAGTGATGAATATGTAATTAATTGCTTTATTATTATTTTCAGGGAGGATATGGAGAAAGTTAACATTAAATTCCATGACAACTATACTGTAACTTATCAACATAATAAAATTTTGAAATTCGTGCCAGAACTGTCGATAGACCCCAACACGAGGGTCCTAGTGCCAAATATTCCTCTGCTGGTAAGAAACATATTAATTAACAATTAACATTTCATTTAAAAAATTATTGTAAAAATCTAGTTTTAGTTATATATTTTTTCTTGGATTGACATTAAAGAGTTAGATATTTAATTTTTGGTTTCAAAAATGTATCATAATTCATAGTAATGTAATTTCTCTGAAGATTTTTTTTAATGCAATTCACGAGTAATAATAATAAATTTGTTATGTTTTTATAAAATATTTTTTGTCAATTTTTGTTCATGTTATGGTAGCAATTTCAATATTCATTATTTTTTGTTAAAAATAATTATTTATTCATTTTAAAATTTAATATTGTATTCATTTATAATTATAATTATATATTTATATTACTGGGATTAGCTCTTTCAGCCAGCAAGCCGCCCAAGTATTTGTTACACAAAATATAACTTTCTGTAATTATTATTAAAAAAATGTATTTAAGAATTGAAATTCACACTTTTAAGAAACTATAAACACAATGACAAATAGGAATTTTGATAGAATAGAAAACACTGGGTGTCATAGATGATGCTCTACTGCCAGGGTTAACTAACCTTCAAGTTATATGGCACCACAATATGATGTTAAAAAACAAATTTAGACCATATATATATATATATATATATATATATATATATATATAATACATATTTATAACCAGGGCCGGTCCTGGAGTCCTCAGCGCCCACATGCCATTTTTTTCTAGCCTTTCATTATTTAACACTTGTACTTCATGTTGGATTATTTCAATTTAATTTTTCATTATTTAAAATATCCAAAATTTTATCGGAAACTTCTCAAAATTGATATCGTAAGAGTCCAATTGTACGCATTTTACTTCACATCATGTATCAGAGTAGACTGTTGTTTTAAAGTTAAATTTATGACGTATTTTAAAAGCATTGTTCAAAGATTAGTATGTGAGTCAAAGAAATCATATATTTCTTAAATGATATTAAAATAACTATATTATAAATTTCATATCCGAATCTCGTGTTGGCGCCCCCTAAGGCGTGCACCCGCATTTTTTGCGTGCATCGCATTCAAGGTAGAACCGGTCCTGTTAATAATAAATTCATTTTATATGATGAATAAATTCCTAATTAACTAAATAATTTTGCCAAAAAATATATTACTCAGTAATAAAAAAAGAATGCTAAGTTTTTTCTTGTTTCTCTTACAGTTTCATATGACTGATTAGTGACATGAAACCAAAGCCTTTAGTATTGAACCGACTCTGCAGTTGTGTTAGAAAACTGCTTTAGTGACCGAAATTTTTGTTTTTTATGATATTTTTATCAAATCAACAAATATATATGTCGTTTTAATAATTATGATGATGTTTATTATATGTTTATTTTCCATCAGACGTTAACCACGCAGAGCAACTACCTCGGTTATTTCCTGCAGAAAGCGATATCGCTCGCGTTACTTCTTGCGAAATCGGAACCGTTTGTCAGCGTGACGGCAGACGAGTTGGTTTTCGGATATGACGACACGTTGGTCACGTTGGCCCATCGATTTTATCCGAAACACAAAAGGCCCATGAGCAAGATGGGCCTCCTCATTGGGGTAAGTAAATAATACATAGAAAATAGTTGGTGAGGATCATTGTGATTAATTAGATATTAAGCGAATAAAACTATGTGAATAAAACCACTATTTAGTCTATGATATATATATTGAACATCACTATACAATCTTCTTCTCTCGTTACTTATGCTAGTCTCTTAGTTACAGGTATTTATATTTATTCATTTATACCCCCTACCCCAAAGGGTCCCCGGTTAAATTGAAAAAACCCTGGCCAAATCTTGACCGATAGTAAATAAAGCCTTTGTTTCAAATTACAATAGAGTGAATAACTGATCAATGATAATATTTTAAAATTTATCTACTTAAAAACATATCAATTTTTTACAACTTATAATAAACATTAAATTTTTTACTTCTCGAAGGAGAAATTTTATGTTTTTGGGATTAAATTCTATTTGCTCTGTTTTCTCGACGTTTCATGTATGGGACCAAATTTGAAAACAGTATGTGTATGCGCGTATGTGTCAGCCGATTTTTGACTTTTCGTCGACGTTTTCTTAAAAACGGCTGAACCGGTTTCAAAAAATTAAAAGCCATACGATGTATCTCGTTAGGAACTATCAAGTCGGTTAATTTGTAATTAGTGGAAATGTGTGATTTTTTTTTTCTCCAAGTTTGTTAGTGTACAATCTCAAATCAATAATTCAAAAACAGTTTAAAGAATATTGGTTGGGAATTGCGTTTTTAATAAGCGGATGCTTTATAATAAACACATATCTAAGTTTAGAAGTTTGTGCCTAACTGTGTAAGAGATTTTAATCAGAATCTATGCCGAAGCATCTGTATGTGTTTCGTTTTGTAAGTAGCTACTGATTACAGTCGATGACCTCACATAAATTAAATACATTATATGTACCCGAAATGGATGAAATAAATTGTGTTAAATATTAAATGAAGTATATTATGAAAGTATGTTTTAAAGATATCAATTGAAACTAGTTTTTAAAGAATGTGAAATTTTTATAAATCTATTCAAAAAAAGTTTAATTTTATCTAAATACCTAATTCTAATACTTATTCTCACTTAAGCCTTAAGGCGAGTTGTATAAACTGATCGATACTTACAAATAGTTTCATGTAATGTTTTTTCACGATGCGGATAGTTAATAATTTGATTGTTCTTAAAATGTTATTTTGAAATAGGCATAATTTTTCATTTACTACTTAATAATGATGAAATAATTTTAAATTTATTTTAGTTAATTCTAACAGTTTTTTATCACATTATCGTGAATGTTTTGTCAGTGTTTTAAATAATTATATAAGTTGTGTGGCTCAATTGGTACATAAATTAATAAATTAGATGTCAATTTGCTGAAGGCAAGTTGCATGAACTTCCTGGTGTGTGAAAATAATCGACTTAATTAATAAGAATCGATATTTAGCAACTTGGCTATGCAGGAACAACTTGCGAACATACACGGAGTGTGATGCCTTTTCTATAAGTATCTACGTTAATATTTTGTTTATTTTTAAGTATTACGAACTTTAATGAATCGATGATTGAACGATTTTTCTAGTTTCGGGATTTCCTTTAGATCATGACTAACTCTATCTATCGGCAAGCAAATGATCGAACAATTAAATACGGAAATGTGGGCAAATTTACCAAAAGTTAATCAGCATAATTCGATACTGATATTTGGATAGTTTTTAAATTTTCAAAATCAGTTGACGATTTTTGGAGAAAATGTTTGATAAATTTTTTGCACTTATCTACTGCTTCATTATTTATATATTCTGATTGCTAATCATTTATAAAGAAAAAAAAATTACTAATTATAAAGAAACGGCTCAGTTGCTTGAATCCTTATCGAGTATCATCAAATTGCATTAAAATTTTCGCAATCGGTGCAACCGTGTTTGACAAAACATTGACAAAATTTCAATTTTTGGCTCACGTACATGCATAAACGTACTGTTACTGATTTTGTTATCAAACGATTCAGAATGACTTGTCGATGCGTTGCGAAAACATTAAATTAGTAAATCTGATTTTCTGGCGGAAACAAACCTTTTTTTTGGAAGTTAATGAGGACAAGTTAATGAGTTAATGAGGACAAACAACAAAAACGAAGGAAATATTATTTCAATAATTAATTTTATATACATTGATTATTGCAATAAATAATTAAATACCTGTTTGATAAAATATTGAAATATCTTAAAAAATTTAATTAATTCAAACATTAAATTTCAATAAAACAAATAAAATTTAATTATAATGTTTACCTAGTTATTATGCATATAACTTAACGAATAAATAAATATAACCACTATTGATATATATATATATATATATATATATATATATATATATATATATCTAAATCCATTGCGTTTAATAATTAATTTATTGATATAAGGCGCTTCTCAAAGAATATATTTATTGACAGAACTGCGTTGACAAACAACAATTACGTGACATTAACATCATTGATCGGTCATAAAATAGATGATAATAAAACAATTAGCCACGTAATTACGAATCGCTAAATAATTACAATGTCATCGCGATATAAGAGCAAACTTTTTATCAACATCATCGTTTACGCGATTTATTTATGCTGGAATTATAACGACAAATAATATATATTCCTAGTAAAAGAGAAAAAAAAACATTTTTTATAAATTCTGTCTTAAGTACATAGTCCAAGAAACGTCATAATTATATTTCAATGTATTATTTAGCTATTAACAATAAGTGTATTATTATATAACTGTTCCGGTTTCGATAAATTCTTATATGTAAAGTAAAGATTATGTGGGCGGATTATGAAATAGGCCAATGGCAAGGCTATGTTGCGTAGCGTTTTTCATATAAAATGGTACTAAAAACTGTCAAAATGCTAAGTATTTGCTGTGCAATCAGGTGTTTTATGCATAAAACGCAACTTTATTAATATATTATAGCACATCATAAAGATGGAGTTATGATAATATTCTTTTGTGCGTTTCTAGGTTAGGTTTCTTATCTAAAACGCTTGACTGCAAAGCAACCACATAGCATTTTGGCATTTTTCAGTACCATTTTATGACATATACTTGTCATAATATTGGTCTATTTTAAGGCAGGTTCGCCATAGTTATGTCAGCAAAATCTAAATATGATAATAATTGATATGAAAAATGTCTTCATGAAAGCAAAAATCAGAACATCATTAGCAAATTCAGCAAATAATAAATCGGTGCTCTCAAGAGATTTATATTCTGAAATATCAGTTTTACTTACTAAATGTAATGTAAATTACATAAATAAGGCAAATAACTTTTTAATTTAAATTTACATTTTTTATTAATTTTTTTCGACTGCAAGAATTCTATAATGTGATGACGCCTCTCTTCATCGTCGCTTTTTCAGAATACAACCCTATGGTTGTCCTATCTATTTTAATGAATTGTATATTGGAAGGCTGATAAATTTTTATTCATTGCAATAATTTTTGGAAGGGCTATTTTCTCTAGGAAACATGCTATACTTATCTATAATAATCAATACTGCTTTTTTTGAAACAAAGTTTTGAGCTTGAGACTAGTGATTAAAATAAAATACACCGGCATTTAATTGCGGTAGTTTAATAATTTTATTAGAATCAAAATGAATTTAAAATCATAACTGGATTTATTATTTTCATTTAGTTGTTTTAATGATATTCGAAAAAAATTCAGTTCACTTAAAATTTTGTTTTATTTACATAAGTTAACTTTTAATTTCTATTTAATTAAACGCTAGAACCTAATTTAAATTTCACCAACACTTATAATAACGAAGATTTTGCATAAATTTAAATAAATAATATTAAATGCAATTGCAATAATCCTGTATCGAAAATAATAATATAAGTCATAAAAAAGTCATAATTAACATCCCGTAGGACATCGCAAAAAAATCGAAAATGAAATTTTTTATATATCTTTACGTTTCAAAACCTCCTGAACATTTTGGCATACCTTAGAAAAAATGGATGTATGTGTGTGTGTGCGTGTGTATGTATGTGTGTGCGGGAACACGGATGAAGCGATTTGAATAATTCAAAAAACATTCGATTCGTATTGATAAGGAGGCGTGCTGATTAGTTTATGGCGAAGGCAGGTCTAGCCATTTCGAAGATACGGGGTAAACAGTGCCAAAAATGATAACTCGGTTTTTAAGAGAACGGAGCGTCCGATTTTACTAATTCAAAACACATTTTACTTGTATTAGTAAATAAAAAAACTGATCAAATTTTCATGACGGTATGTCTAGCGGTTTCGGAGATCTAGTAAAAAAATGGTCAAAAATGATCATTAGACATATTCACATCAAATTATCAGATATTATACAGAGATTTTAATAATAAGTATAAATTTTGTTTACATTCCTATGGGTTGCATACCAATATTTATCCGTTAGACGGCGACGCAGCGCTTACGCGCTTTGACTATTTGTCTCTGTGCAGTTAAAGCAGCAAGATTGCTTTGAAAAAAAAGTGCAAAATTTCCAAAATATGTCAAAATAAAAAAAACATTTTTTCTTTCAAAAAAAAATTTTTTTCAAAAAAAAGTAATTTTTTGTCAAATTTATAATTTCTCAAAAATCTAATTTGTTCGAAGTAAATTTTTTTCAACAATGTTAATCACTTTAAAAAAACAATAATTTTTGGTACGGGAAGATCCAGCAATTTGCCTTAAGTCACGATGACATACACCCCACTAGTTTCTGTTTGTGACTATTATTAATATTAAATTGGAATTTTCTTCTTTCCAGCGTAATGGTACCCTAAACGAAGTTTCGACAATTCACACAGGCCATTCCGATATGAAAGAATTTGGCTTGTTAAACCGTTTAAATGGTTTGGACCACCTGCCTTACTGGGACTCATCTCCTTGTAGTGATGTCAGGGCTTCTGAGGGATCATTTTTTCCTCCAAGAGTTTATACTGGGGCCGATATTGTTCATGTTTATGACAAAGATCTTTGTCGTATATTACCTCTGCAATACAGAGGACCAGTGGTAAAAGATGGTGAGTAGGATATTATTCATTATTATAACTATTAGTCTTTCGTCATTATATCATTTTAATTAGTTTATGAGATTTTATCAACTCTCTTATCAACTAATAGCATACAAAAATAAAAAGTCGATGAGGATTTTTGGACCCCTCTTCCTTCTTGATGTGATATTCACGTGGTGATATTCAAAATTACCCCTCCTTGCCCATCAAACATCACGTGCATTTTTAGTTACGAAGAAATATTGTTTTTTTTTTTAAATATGTATAGATTTAAAAAAAATTAGGTAAAGAATAAATACACGTAATATATTACTATACCCCTTTAACCCCCACGTGATTTTTTGTCAAAATGTCCCTCCCCCTAAAAACCCCACGTGATTAATGGGCGCCCCTAAGTAGTAATATGAATTTTATAGCTATTTTTATATTTTTTAAAATAAATGTTTAAATGAATTCTATATTTTTCTAACCTATTTTATATTTTTCGAATGTAATTACTAACTATTAATCATTATGCATTGAGTTGTTGATAAAATCAATTGCAAGTAAATCCTTAATAAATGCAGTAGTAGGTAAGGGCGGGGCTAGTTGAGCAAATTTTTACTTAAACGGATGTAGCACCTCAATGAAAAGTCTCAATAAATTGCTATACGAGGATTTGTTATTTATCGCTTAACAAAAGTGTTAATACTATTTTTTGGTGAAGTAAAATTTAAAAGCTACAGCTGTTTAAATGCAAAAAGTCAAGTATGCTCAATGTACCCCATAGGTGAGGCAAGTTGAGCACTAAGAAAGTATAATAAAATCATAGGTTCAATGTCGATTAGTGATGAAATAAAGTAAGTTTTTAATAACCAGTTCTATATTTATAGTCTTTATTGACAGAAAAAACAAAACTTATAGTAATTTGCTTTGAATAATTAACGAAAAGTAGAATCAACAGAACAATATCGTATCGTAGGAATTATTTTACCATTATATTTAGTATTTTTGTTTAAAATCATTATTTCTTTATATTATTACTCATAGACTTAGCCTAAATCTTAAAAATAATAATCAATTTCTGGAAGTTAATGATAATTGTCTTATATAGAACAAGTTTAGCAACTATGCCCAACTAACCCCAACTCGGAATTTCAAAATAAAAGTGAGTTTATAAAAAAAACCGTGAAAAATATAGCCAGAATCTCTGTGCATATTAAAAGTACTATAATTATATTGAAGAATAACATTTACCTGATTAAAAATAAATAATATTTGACTAAACCAGATGAAAACTCGTGATGAATTACGTTTTTACTTTTTGGTCTCAAAATAAACAAAACGCCCGTGAGCCTCACTCATTTGTCCAGCGGCCACTAACGATCGCGGGATGTTTATTTCTCCAAAACCTCTATATTTCCGCCATATGATGCCTAAACGAACGGTGAATAGTTTTCGAGATATTTCGATTGCTCAACTTGCCCCTATGCTCGACTAGCCCCGCTCTACCCTATTCATATGATTTTGAGAAAATTTCAATAATATTATAAAACTAAACTATTCTTTAATTCAATTTCATTTAAAATTTATTTTTTGCGATGAATATTAAAATATCCAATATTGTTAAAGGTTCATGAGTGTAGCACTTACATTATTTCACTCTCACTCTTACTTTTTCTCAAAAAAGATCTTTTTGAGAATTTAGAAAAATTGCTTTTTAAAATTGTATTTAATATATCAACCAACAGTCAAAACCATTTAATTTGAGGCGTTCTCCGTTTTTAAAATATAATGAGGCATGGAGTAGGATATTCTTGTAATTAATTAATTAACAAACCCAAAATTTTAGGTTTGACTGCTGATCTCTACACGCCTCCAGATAATGTCTTTGGTGGAAATGAAACAAGTGCTCCAGATAATCAATGTTTTTGCGATTCAAAGCACTATTGTCCGCCTAAGGGTTTGCAGAACATTAGTCCTTGCCAGTATGGTAAGTTTATTTCATAGTTATCTCATTTCATTAAATATTAAAATATTTTAGATATATTATTTAATATGTTTTTGTTCTACACTTTAGATGCACCTGTCTATATATCGTTCCCTCATTTCTATCAGGCTGATGAAACTTTTCTCAATGACGTTGAGGGTTTAAAGCCCGTGCAAGAAAAACATGAAACTTTTTTCAAAATTCAACCGGTATGTTCAAAATATAAATATAATTTAGTTTTTAAATATATATGTGTATATATATATATATATATATATATATGTATATGCCATCCCGGTGAATAAGTGGTTGTCAATTTTCACTATTTTGCAAAGCTTGATTTCAAAGCTTTATTTCTCATTGTAATATCGCTTATTTGAAATTAATGGTTTAAATTTTATATAAAATGTTTCATTAACTTCAGTTCTTAACCAAAAGTTTTTTAATTTAATGATTATTTTCAGAGAAATAGTTAATACCGCGATTTAAAACATTTTTGCCGAAATTCGAATTAATCACTTATTCACAGGATGGCAGATATATGTTTGTGTATGTCTTATGAAAACGTTACACCAAAAACCAATTTTTTTATTCAACCATAAATATTTTGTGTTTCCATTAAAAATTGTGTAAAATTTTGAATTTTTAATAATTGTGTAAATGGAATTGTTCAACTCACTAATTCAATAAAGATTTATTTAATACTTTATTGAAATTGTAAATCTGAATCATTCCCATGCATAAAACCACTACAGGCTTTTGGAACCATTCTAAAACTAGATATTGTATCTATATATGAAATTTATTTAAATAATATAATAATTAAAATTTATTTAAATAATATAATAATTAATGTTTGTATTTGAACTATGCAGAAACTTGGAGTGCCAGTCGAAGGAAAAGTTCGGGTGCAACTAAATTTGCGAGTCGAACAAGCTAAAAATGTAGCATCGGTTCATAAATTTCGAAGTATTATGTTCCCAGTCATGTGGTTAGAAGAGGTAAGCTTAATAGTAATATAAACTGATGAATTTTTTTATATGATAGTTTATAAATATCTTAACAAATCATATTTGCCTTATATCTGTTCCCTCCTCTAACACTAAGCATTCTGCATTATATTACTCGCGCTCACGCAAAGTTGCCAAACATTCCCAATTAAAGTAGGTTTTATCATCAGATATTAAAATTAGTGTCTTTTTCATAAGGTAAGTTGCCTGAACTTTCCATTAAAAACTTTAAGAATTTTCATAATTGAATCACTTTTTCGAGGCCTGTAATATTTGGAAAGTTTATTAAGAACGTGAATTCTATCACTTTGCAAAGTTTCATTAAAACTGTGAAGAAAGTTTCAACTATTTATTACAAATAAAAGGCACGGGTGACTTTTAATAATCTATGAACTTTTCAAGTCGGTTCAGGATTTTTGGTGTAAACTAGTTGAAAAATTTTGCTAATCATAAGAAACGATTCGGCCGATCGTAGCACGAAAATAATCATTACAAAACCTCATCGAGTTTTCTCAATTGGTTACATACATACATACCTTAAGGGGGTCTACCTATGTGACGGCCTGTTTTTTAGGGATATTTTAGGATTTTTTTTCTACGACCAGTAAATATTTAGAGCTTCAAGTTTTTTATCATTTATTAACACATATTTGGACAGTATAAATATAAAATTTCAGCTAAAAATATTCAGTCAAACTAGAGTTACAGCGCTCTGAACACCCCCGCCTCGAAAAAAAGAGCTCCCACTTCCTCCACGATTCCGGCTGATCGGCTTATCAAATATCGAAAAAAAAATTTAACTTTTTTTTTTCTTTTTTCAAAAACAATTGTTGCGACAATACAAGCATAAAGTTCTTCGAATCATTCAAATCAGATGCTTATTTTTCTCAAAAGCTGCCATTTTTTGCACATTCAATTATTAAAACTAATCACCACCTCTCCCCATCATTACGAATCGAATGTTTTTTTGATCATCCAAATTGGTTGATCCGTTATCTTAAAAACTGACATTTTTAGCACTTTTTGCTCTATATCTCTGAAGCCGTTGGACCTGTCTTCTTCAAAAACTAATCAACACGTCTCCTCATCAATAGGAATCGAATGCTTTTTGAACCAGTCAAATCTGATAATCCAAAAATTGTCTCCACACATACACACACACACATACACACATTCATTTTTCTGAGGTATGCCAAAATGCTCAGAAACTTCTGAAACGTGAAGAAATGCAAAAAAATTTCATTTTCGATTTTTGGCCGATTACTATAACTTACCCTAGGGGTAATAAAAGCAATGATAGCAAAAGTAAATGTTTTTTTTAAATATATTTTTTTTTCTTCCCAGGGTGTAGGCGAACTAACTCCCGGCATTCGGCGTTGGATTCTACTAGCTACAGATGTGGCAGACGTGGCAGGTCCCTTACTGAACTACTCCTTAATCATCACCGGTTGCTTCTGTCTGATCTACGTTTTTGTGGTCACCTATCGAGGAGTTGTCGTCGAAACAATCGCCGTAGACCCATTAGAAATCGTAGAGATGGGAAGAAGAAGTTTAAGACGAGGTTCTAAATTCATAGAGAATAGTCAACATAAGATCGCTTCATCTCTAAACAGAGGCGACAGCTACACATTGCTCAGTTCCAATGGAGGAATAAATGGTGACGATGATAATTGAAGGTTGAATGATGGAATGATGGAATGATTGTATTATAGGGTAAAAGATTGACTTTACAGAATTATTCGTATACAGATAGGTTTAAAAATGAATTTAGTATAATATTAATAGATTATCAAATTGCGTAGTAAAATTTGAGTAATTCAAACAAACTAATCAGGTTTAGTGTAATTTACTTGACAATACGTATCCGGATTTTAACTTTTTTTTCAATGCAGCAAATCGTATCTAGACATAAAATGCAGAGAGAATGAAGCAATATGATTATTAGTAAGGTGACCATACGTCCCGGTTTGGCCGGGACAGTCCCGGATTTCCACCTTGTGTCCCGGGTTTTTCTAAAAGCAATATTTGTCCTGGATTTAGATCTTTTGTCGCGGATTGTCCCAGATTTTCGAAAAGTATAGGTCTAAAATGAATATTTTTCTTACTTGATAATAAAATTGCAACTACCCATCAAATATTTGAAAATGTTATTTACAACTAGTATGCTTATATAAAAAGACAGGTTAAAATAGCCTCTCACGAACTTCTATTTTCAATTTTACGAAAATCAACAAAAATTATGAAAATGAACTTCTTGACTGCCTGGAATAATTGCTAATTATTTTTAAATAGTTATGAAGAACATTTAACAAAATTTTATAATAAGTTTGAAAGCTGAAAAAACATATAGATCCAAAAAAAGAAGATAAATTATAACATATAACCGAATAATAAAGTTCTTAGCCAGTAATACTAATTTAAAAAAAATACTATTTAAAAAGACAGATTTTTATTGCATTCTTAAATAGTATTTGCTATATTAAAATCGTATTATTTTTTAGCAATTTTTTAGCATTCACCCGCCCTACTCGTCCTGGATTAGCATAACCAAAAATTACCGTCCCGGTTTTAACTTAAAAAATTATAGTCACCTTATTATTAGGAATGATTTCAAGATATGAAATAGTCAATATGCACATATAATGTTGGTGTCAAACGATTCAGAATAACTTGAAACATCGAGGAAACATAAAATTAACAAAATTAAAAGTAGAACTGACTATGACTTATCAATGCGCATTGACATGCGCTTGTTAGCTATTTGAATCAATTAGATTTAAAAATTGGCATCTAAATTATTACACAAGACAAACAATATTCGTTTTAGTAATTGCAGATAACATAAATTATTAATTTAAAATCATTATTATTATGAATAACATTGTAATTTAAACGCTTTACCATATGTACTTCACATTACTTTATGCAATATTTGGTTTCTAGAAATTATTTACCAAAAAGTGATTTTGTATTACGTCAAGCACTTATTTGCTCTTATTTGTTTCTTGGTTATTAATAAGGTGACCATATTTTTTTAAGTCAAATTTGTGACCTCGGGCGGGGCGGGGGGGTCGGTGTTAGCCGTTTATATAACAAATGCTATCCAAGGATACAATAAAAAACAGTTTTTTTAGATGATTTATTTTTTATCATAATTGCGGACTTCTAGTAAGAGCATTATACTTTGACTATTATATGCAATACTTCTTTATCTATGATATTATATCTTATAATTTTCGATCTATATGATCTATTCAATTTTCTTCATAATTAATTTGAAAAAAATAGTACCTGTTAGTTTGTTTCCCTAATTTTTGTTAATTTAACTGTTAATTTTCGTAAAACCGGGACATCCGGGACAAAAAATCAAAATCCTGGACAAATATTGCTTTAAAAAAACCCGGGACATAAGGTGAAATGCGGGACTGTCCCGGCCAATCCGGGACGTATGGTCACCTTATTAATAATAGTAAACTTATTTGGAAGATAGTAGTATAACATAAAAACAAATAAATATTTTATATTAATTTATACAATACAAATCGACAGTTGCAATAGAAGAAGTTAATGATTTTTAATGCAGAACAATTTTTTTTTATTATTTTTTAAAGCCTATCTATTATTGTTTTTTTTTATCTTCGTAAACAATTAATATTTTTACTTATATTATTATTGTAATCGTAAAATTATAAATCTAATAACTACAATTTGATTTTTTTGACTTAAATAAATACAAATACTCTCATAAAATTAGAAAGAAGTAATATTTTAGGAGTTACTTTTCGGTAAACTTGGATACACGATACTATGGGATAATATTTGGTAGTCTATTAAGTGAATTTTTAGCTATATATTTCATAAAGAAAATATTTTTTACCAATAATTCAAGAAACAACAAAAAGTTGCAATGCTAAATTTTACTATCAATAATTCAACTTGAATAACAGACGAAAATATGTGCAATTTATTCTATACATACAATATGTGAATTTATATTTTAAAATATTAGATAACGCATATTTATTTTTTCACACTTTTTTTAATGGTCACATAATATTTGTAGATTTAATTTTTCTATCATCAGCAATGATAATTATATTTATAACCCGCATTTAATATATAATTCGAATTAATTGCCATTCCATAAAATTTTAATTTGTTGCTAACGTTTAAAGAAAGTTATATGATGATTTTTTTATTTAATAAAGGCTTTCAGGTAAAGAATTTCTAATATAAAATTACCTCATTAAATGATCAATTAGAATTCCTGCATTGAAAATTAGTTAAAATCATAAAAGAACCAAAATCATATTATCATATATATTATATTTAGACATACTAGATAATAAGTAAAATTTAGTTTGGTTGTACGTGAGCTGGTTTCTCAAAACATTAGGATTAATAATGCTAGTAAGACAATATTGAAATGTGACATATATTTAATAATAATAATAATTCATTATATTAGATTGGGCTAGGATAATTCACACGTCTTGCCAAATTTTAATCTCGATATTTTTAAATAAATTTTAAATTTAGTTTTAGAAGTTAATTCAGACCCATCAAGGTCTGTCCGAGGCTAGTTACCTAATTCGACCGAAATAGTAATTGGATAGAAGTAAATGTATAAGCAACTAACAAATATTGAAATAAAAAAAAATATTTACCGAGATGTTGCACGAATAGGTCTAAATAAGGTTAAACATATAATATTCACAATAGTTTGAATAAAATTGTTTAAATTAACTAACTAAATGTGAATGTTGAATTTTCTTTAGACCTAAGAAGATTCGTGTTATTCCAAATTGCCTTAACAAGTAATTAATGTGCCTAAAGTTACAATGTGTAAATATAATATAGATTTGAGCAATTTATTTTAATTTAAGAGTGTGTTGGATATATACTCAAATTTTTTTAAAACATAGGATAGCATATTGTATTTTTATATAATTTTTTTACATTTTTTGAATAAATATTTTAGCATACTTAATAATCATCATATGTGATATAACAATAATGTTGAAATATACAAAATTTTGTAATTTTACTATAATAATTAAATTGTGACAATAAATAATTAAAAGCTGAAATCGGTTTGGGCATTTCGGTTGTTGAATTGCATAAAAGTTTTAATACTTATAGCCCTGGCATATAAATTTATTTCGCTAGATTTAATTTTATGCAAATGTTGTTTTGTAATCAAAAGTTTTAAATTATGTGAATTTATTGAAGAGATAAAATACTCTTGCCGAATTACCAAAGATTACTATTTTTGCTTTTAATGGCGTGCAATATTTCTCATCTAATAGTTAGTGCAATATTTTACTACAATCAGTAGTATTTATTTGTATATAAATGGACTAAAGGGTTACAGCCATAGTTAAAAGCATTGAGTTGAAGCGTTACCATAAAATACTGACAAATATTCTTCAAAATAAATTTAAAATAAATTGGAAAAAGTTTTAATTTACATTTTAGTTCCCTATTCACGCTGAAACACGTTTGTAAAATAAATTAAACTAAGTAGCATAAAAATTAAAAATTATATTATTTTATATTCATAAGTTTACTATATGGTTGTGTTTTATATGTGTGTCTATTTATATCGATATTATATATATATATATATATATATATATATATATATATTAATCTGTCACAGGATTATTTTATAATACTTTTTTACCCTAATTGTTTTTTATAAAATCATAGCTCTGAATTAAAATTCGTTAAATGGAATTGTTAGCAAATACCAATTGCATGCTAATCTTGCCTTTTGTTCAGGATTTATTTAGGTTTTTCGACAATTCTTATATTTTGCAATATATTGCAATTTAGAGCCTTCTATTTTTGACAATACTTGTAAATGTTTTAAATTCAGATATTGAAATATCTACTATTCAAAATATTTGATCCTGTTCATGATATTCATATATAATATCTTTGGGAATCTCTAATGTAAATATAAAATTGTTGTAATATCTATTCTTAATATTAGTGAGTAAAATTGATACATATCAAATTAAATTAAATATTATTATTTTGAATTAGAAAATGTTTCTTAAGGTTAGTGATGTTTAAATATGATTATATATCAAAAAATTAGATGAGAAACCCAGTTTTGAAGAATATTTATAATCTATTTAATCTTTGGATATGGCTATATTACTTATAGAAAAAATGTAATTAATATACGTATTATTTAAAATTATTTTTAAATAAAAAAACATATGTATTCATATAGATTTGTTTCATTATCAGATTTAAATTGATTTCGGTACTTAGTTAAAAGGGCATTGAAAATACTGTGGAAATTTAATATTTTTTTATAAATATTTATGTTGCATAATGTTAAACTCATACAACGGTTTAATGCTCATTATTATACTTGCAAATATTAATATGGAAATGCGTAATAGTTTATTCCTGAATCTATATCTATTGCCGTTTTTACCGGATTATTACTAAATCCGGTAAACTTCTTAGAAAGCGGTTTGCAATTGCTTTTGAATTATTAAAAAAAAATAGTAGAAAAGAACCAAATTATTATATTAATGATATAATATACAATGTTAGTGATTAACCAACGTTTCAAATTACAGTTGAAAGTTGAATTTATATTATAAATAAATTATTTATATAAAACATGTGCTTACAACTTCTAAACCTTGATAACTATTTAAATAAGTGATATATTATTAAAACTGAAACAGTTTTTGAATATTTGTGTAATCTTATACGTATTAAGGTTTCTCGAAAAAAATATTAGGTACTATTTAATCACTGTGAAAAGTATAGATAATACCTATACATAATACGTAATATAATATTTAATGTGTTGAATTCAAAATTTGGTAAAATGTGTTGAATTTTGTCAAATTTGAATCAATCAATATATATCCATGGTTCAGATCTTACGAGACCGAAGCAATGGAATGATAAATGGGTGAAAGCTTCGGCCTTCCAATCAACAAGGTTTCGAGTTTAAGTACAACCTAGTATCAAGCAGTGGTAATATCCATTTTTACTAGAAAATATAAACCTAAGTATATTTTGAATTGCAAGTATTGGAGCAACATTACAATTAAAAGCATATAAAAATGTCAACACCACAAAGAGAAAAGAAAACATTTGGGTGTTTACTTATATAAAGCTGCAATTTTATCAGAACCTTTTATGGAATACTCAGAATTGTGCTGATTCAAATAATAATAACAAATAAAAAGACCGTACCAAGCAAATAAACTATTAGAAACAATTTGTTTATAATTAACTTCCCGTAGGGTAAGTTATATTATAGTAATCGCAAAAAAATTGAAAATGAAAATTTGATATATCTTTACGTTTCAGAGGTTTTTGAACATTTACATGATACAAGTTTTCGTAGACGATTTTACGAACGCGAATCAACCGATTTGAATAATTCAAAATCATTCGATCACTACTGATAAGGAGACGTGCTGATTAGTTTTTGGCAAATCCAAGTCTAAATAAATAAGCTATGCAGCGCAATTGCTTAAAAAAATGTTCAAAATTTTCAAGAAAAGTCAAAATACAAAAAATCTAAAAAATCTAATTTTTCAAAAAAGTCAAAATTTTTCATTTTTTTTTTAAGTTTTGCGAAGTTTTTTTTAATTAATTATTATATTAATTTAGTTTTTGTCACGGGAAGTTCCAGCAATTTGCCTTAAGGCACGATCCATACGCATACACCGCATCCGTTTTTATTTAAGTTTATAATTTTTTCACAGTTGGCCGGCCTTGTTCCATTTTAGCATCGTCGTTGAGCGCCGCCAACTTCACTTCGAAATGATTTTTTCACAATTGAACCTTCCACTTGAAGTTGCTTGAAACATCTGCTATTTATAATATTATAACCTCAAATGCTTTTAAACGTCAAGTGACTAGTGATTGATAAAAATAAACTCATAAACAAAGTAGTTTTAAAATTATTAATAAAAAATACAACAAATATGAGTATAGGAACAATTGCAAATCAACATTTAATTTTAACAGGTGACAAAGAAAGGTAAATAGAAATAGAAATAGAAATAATAATTACATCTGTAACATGATTTTGCGAGGAAATTTTCGCATAGAATCAATTCGGATTCTATCAATTAGTATATTAATTGTATTTTTATTTCTATTTATTAAAATACTATTCATTGCTAATTTGATTGGTTTTACCTTTTTATAAATATTATCTTTTGAGCAGTTAAAACGAAATTTGCATCTTTTTTTTTTGTAGAATACTATAAATTTAGTGACTTTATACAACAAATAAATATCTATTCAATTTGTGCTATATTATGTTTACATGACGTTCTCACTATTAAGACAAAGTAATTTCAATTGAATAATATCATCTCCATTTACCCGGTTATTTATTTTAAATTCAACGAACGAAATTAATGGGTTTTATTTTATATCACTTACAGATTTAAGGAACTTTTGCAGTTGCGACTTATAGAATGTGGTTGGCGAGATCAAGTGAAATTACTTTGTCGCCAAATCGTTAAAGAAAAAGCAGATACAAATATCACTGTAGATATGTTAGTAAATGAAGTAACACCAAAAGCCAGATCAATGGTTCCCGATACTGTGAAAAAGGAACTTTTGCATAAAATTAAAAAGCAATTGCTAAAAAATGAAAAACTGGATATGGAGTAAAAACTTATGTCTATTTGTAGAATATTTGTGAAGTCTTTTATGAATTATGATACTATATGCTAAATCTATATTTCAAAGTAATTTGTAAGTATTTTTGTTGTGGATGTTCGGGTATAATTTGAATACAAATATTGCTATGAATACTGTGTCAATATTATAATTTACCTAATCAATAATATTGATTCCTTTTTAATTGGTGCTATTATTTCATGAGATTTATTTCATTAGTGGCTATAATTTGAAACAAAATCGATTGATTGTAAACACTTCTATTTAATATATAATTAACATGTTCTGCAATCTATATACTTATACCTATATATATATATATATATATATATATATATATATATAGTTTAATCTTATCTTACATTATACATATACATTACATTAAGTTATTAATTTGAAATCTCTTGAACAATTATGTACTTTTTCACTGTTTCTATTGATAATGCAATTCCAAAGTTTTATCTGACTCCAAAACATTTGATTGATAGTTACTACAAATTGTATTCAAACAATTCATAAAACAATATTTTATTAACAATTTTAAAGCATACTTTGTATAAAACATTTTATAAAAATATTTATTGTTCTGAACCCTTCTTTAATAAAAACAAATTAACTAAATGGCGCATTGTGGGTCTACCGTGGGGACAATTCCAAGGTTGTTCCATTGTTCCCATATTATCAACAAGTTTTCTCATATCAGCTCTTGTCATTGGGGACCCAACCATAACAGATTTTCGACATGCTCTAGAAGCTAACATACTTCTAACACGACTTGGTCTACATGTAGAATTATCGCCGGAACTATCTTGTAGCATAAATAACAATTCATCAATGTCTTCTTTGCCAAACTCAAAATTCTTACTCATTGGTATTGCAGATAATTTTACCCTTTTAGTTGTTACAGCATCTTTATCTATTTCAAATTTAAAACCATTTCTTTCAAAGACCTCTAAGTTGTCTAATAAAATACTTTCATTCATTGCAGTCAACTCTAATGTTTGGGGAACAACTAATTTTTGGTTTACCAATGTTGTAGTTTTCTCAAGGTTTTCAAAGTTGTACTTTTCATCAGATGCATGCTGATCTATTATAAATAAATCATCTTCTAATTGGACTATGATGAAACCCAAATTGAATTGGCCAATAATTGTCATTTTTGAAAACATTTCTTTTGATATTTCACGCTCAAGTTCTTTCTCAGCAGATTCATTAGAAGATGGTGTGATCTCTGACCTAAATTTGATTCGATTTAGTTTTGATTCTTGTACTTCTTTAGATTTTTCCTGCATCTGCATTCTTTGCTTAATATCTTCTAATGAGCATTTCATTTCAACTTTTGGCCTGTTCTTGTTATATGCAAGATCATTGTCTTTCTTAACTTGTGAGACTTTAGTTTTGTTCTTACACTGTATTGATTCATCAGACGTGTTACTTTTTTCTTCAATATTTAACTCACATGAACTCTCATCTTGATCTAGAGAGTATTCAGCATCACTATCTTTAAAATCTTGTGCTTTATTTAAATCATCCTCTGAAAACTCATTTATAATTTTGGGATTAAAAACAAGATTCAATTTGGGTTCATTTTTTACTTTTTCAATCAAGGATTTCTCCTTGCTTTCATTGGTTTCCTTTGACACATCAATTGGATTAATTTTTGATGTAACATTAAATTTTTTTTCGTTATATGACCCTTCATCAATTTCATCCTTCTCATGAAAAACATTAATATTCTTAGGCATGAAAATAGGATTATTTTTCAGTGATACTTTAAAATCTTGTATATTGCTCTTATCTTCATAATCAGTTGTTTCTTCTGCTATTTTATCCATGGGCTTAAAATTTGGTGTGGGAGAACCCTTAGCTTCATCCTCAGAATCTGAACTTAAATTGGGAGTTTTAATATCAGTAATTGCGGTATTAATTATAGTACTATTGTCATTTTCTGAAGATAATTTAATTTGTTTTGTATCATTAGCAAATCGTTCTAAAAAACTCATTTTTCTTTTTAAACTTGAGTTTTCACATTTACCTGTTTCATTAGGCTTTCCTAAGTTATGCAAAGCATTTTTGGTGAAAGTTGATTGATTGAAATTGCTTGCATCCAATGATTTATTTTGCAATTTCATAGTGCCAGGAATATTTTCAAACAGTTTCATTAAAGCTTGTTTCAGAAGCGTGGTGAGTACTTTTTCATGATTTAAAAATATCTGACGTTTGTCTGGTGTAACATTCACATCAACATCTTGGTTCTCCATTTTAATATTTAAAAACACAAATGGATTCTGATTTCCATTAAATTGCTTATAAACTTCATTTACAACTTTCATTATTTTTGTAGGCTCACATGGCCTTGAATTAATATAATAAAACTGCCGATCTGGTGCTGATCTGCCAGCACCATGGGCACAACTAGAGATTACACCTTCAATTTGAAAGGGAGATTTTTGGCATTTTCCATTTTCTATATCCATAACATCAGCTGATTCTGCTATATAAGTATTCAATGGTTTAATTTCTAATAAATTTTGATTCTGCTGAGACCCAAAAATATTTACTATATTATCCCTGAGTGTACTATTTGCTTGTGTTGATACAATAATTGTTCTACCATAACCTTTGTTCTGATTTGTGCACATAATTTTTGCATGAGTGGAGATTAAACAATAAGCATACAAAAGTTGGGTCATTTTATTAAACTCTCTTTTAATATTTTTATGAAACTCTTTCTGGCGAACAGGTAATGTATAAAATATGTTGACTAATAGAACCGTTGTTCCAACTTGCCTAGAGCAGGGTGTTTTCTTTATGATCAAACCATTGTGGTCAAATTCAATTTTGGTACCTAATTCATCATTTTTGTGGCGTGTTGTAATAGTTACTTTAGAAAGAGCACATAGCGAACTTAAAGCTTCTCCTCTGAAACCAAATGTACTAACACCTATTAAATCACTATAATCTCGGAGCTTTGATGTATGATGTTTTAAAGTTAATGCTTGAAAATTTTCTTCTTCCACACCAGTTCCTACAAATAAAAAAGAATTTAAAAAGTAATTAATTTGCAATAAGATGATATTTAAAGTATATATTTTTTATTCTAGATATATTTAAGAGTAGCATATTGAAAAATAAGATTATAAATTCGAACTGGTATATAATATGTAGATAAATTAAATGATTTAGAAATATTTATTGCACTGATCATGTAGCATAATTGTTTCATAATATAAATAGGAGAATTGTCACATATAAAGCAATCGAAATGTACCATTGTCACAAACTTCTATAGATTCTTTGCCATGTTCTTTTAACTTTATTTCCACACAGGTTGCCCCAGCATCCAAGGCATTTTCAACTAGTTCTTTAACAGCTGTTCCTAGATTTAATACAACTTGACCGGAACATATTTGATGAACAATTTGTTTATTTATAGCTTGAATAGATTTTGACTTTTCTGTTGTCGGTAATACTTCTTCTTCGACATTGTTTTCTGCCATCATTTTCAAAAATTATTCAAAAAACGATAAACAGACATATAGAGATAAAACTACTATGCTCTAAAGGTTTACATTATTTTTGTCACAAAATAAAGTTATCATATGATGCCATATCATATTAACGATGTACATTAATATTTTGTTAAGAGAAACTCTCTCATTATTTAAGTGAATTTATTTATTTGTATCGGTTCATTTTTATTTGGCGCCATTTGAAATGTCAAAAACTGACAGCTGACAAGCTTTTGATTGTCAAACCATATTTCTAATCCAGAGGTACCAAACAATTTACTAACAGACAAAAACTGACAGTTGTCAAGCTTTTGATTGTCAAACCTCATTTCCAATCCAGAGGTACCAAATTTACTTACTAATCTTATTAATTAGTAATCTTATTAATTACTAATTGCAATTTACTTACTAATCTTATTAATTAAAATCTCCATTGATGCTCTATTATCGGCAAAATATATATAAATAAAATTGCAATAATATTTCTAATTGTAGTTGTAGTTGCAAATGAAGAAGAATAACGTTTGATTTTTGCATCGAAACAAACGAAATATATTTGAAAAATGCATGGAATATATTATTTTTTTATTATTACAATACTTCAAATGCAAACTATTACATGCATAAACTCGACATTAAGTTTTCAAAATATTGACATAAGTCCATTCCCTGGAAGAAGCTATGACGCATTGCTGAACAAAACTCACGAACAGCCTCAACAGCCTGTAGAGTCGGTTAACAATAAATTATCAAAAAGAATCCAGTCGCAGATAATAGAAAGTAGCAAGCAGGTTACTGTACCAACAATGTATAGAAATATTGCTAAACGAAATAGATCTGCCAAGAGGGTTGCACCAAGTTTTAGGTTACGCAAAGCAAGTCAAAAAACACAAAAAAATTTGCCGGCTATTGGACTGAGACGTAGAGCTCATTGAAATGTCGCCTCAAGCTCATCAGTTAATTTTCTTTGATCATATTTCAATTTGATACTGAATAATTAGTTTCAAATGTAATATTTACTACAAATGCGATTTGTGCACTTTTGAAAATATATGTTAAATTTGAATATATTTATATAACTGATTTATATACATTATTTATTATTGATAAATAATAATAATATATTGATTGATATGCATTATTCATTATTATATAACTAATTTTTTTTTGGTATTATTTTAGCAAAATGAAGCCTGAATAATTGTCTATATTTATTATTTTTGATAACTCGACGTTCGATTGGCTGTTGAATTGATTTAAATAATTAAGTAAATATTCAAATTATATCTAGAATATATATATATATATATATATACCCATTCATTATATCATTATATAAACAAATAAAGTTAATAGTTTACACTAGAATAACGGAGGTTGATTGTATATCTATTTTGCCTGATTCAGTCAATTTGACTCAATCACTGAAAATGCAGGCTTTTTAAAGTGATAAATTTTTATAACAAATAAACCATTTTCCAATCACTTTTTTCAAACATATTTAATTTTTGAAATACATTTTTTTGCATTTGCTACAAATGCCATTGCTTCCGTTTCTGATGCATGATACTTGTACCTGGCAATTTACACTGTTTTCAATATTTTTTATATTAGATAAAGTCGAAGTACTCTTGGCTTTATTTTCGTAGATACCACTTAAGTCTTCTGCCAGTTGCAAAAGAAATTCTTTTCTTGACACTCGTTTTTCAGTCACATCTTTATATATGGCTCAAGCCGTGATTGCAACCAAATCTGACTAAAGTTTGATTTCAAATTTACTTCGGTTATTTGGCAATGTACTAAATGAATGGGCACCTTGCTTGACTTGAGAATAATTTTCATCGACTGTCATGTTTTAGCCAAAGGTTTCTCCGGTGCCATAAGTCAAAATGAAAGATTTCAACTGAACAGTTTGCAAAAAATAAATTTACAGCATTGAATAAGCAAGTTATAACATGATACCTTCCCACCAGAACGTTTACAGCAGTTTTTTATGAAAAGAATATAAGTTACCCTTGTTTTATCTATGCAATTATTCCTCCATAAATTAAAATTCTTATTATAATTCTATTAATCTTTATAAAATTAATTAATAATAAATAAATACGTAATAAAACTTTATGTAATTGATAAAAACAATCAAGATTATAGAAATAAAAAGAAAACTAAACTAAACTAAACTTAACTGCTGTATGTTTATACTAAAAGCTATGTTACCAGTCTATATAAATATATGTTCTATGCTCTATGTTTAATTTCGGTTGTAACTATTTTTAAAATAAACCAACAGTCTGTGTTGTCTGAGACTTGGTTGAACAAGTTTCTTGTATAATTGTAATGAATTGTAATAATAATTATCCATATCATAAATTTAAATAGATTTAAAGTAAAAGTGTGTTTTTTGTGATTTAGGTAAGTACAAAATAATTATTTTTATTTTAAGGCAAAGTGTTAGGCATAATTCTAAACAAATATTTGTATAAAAATAAGTTGTGATTTTGAAATAAGTCCAAAACAATTTTTAATACATACATTTGTTGCTTTAAACGTCAAAATTGAATTATATTGTTTGAGGTTAGAAATGTCAAACGTCAAACATAAAACGTCAAACATCAAACGTCAAAATTGACGACGGCTGTTTTCAGGTTAAAAATGTCTGTTGTGACAGGTTTATTTTCAAATGTGTTTTAAAATTGTTAATTAATTAAATAAATGTTTAATAATTAAGTGGAATAGCTCAGATTTAGTACAATTTTTCTTACTTTTTTAAAACTATTCAAAATCAGAAATATTTCAAAAGAGGTAACAAGGAAATAAGTTTTTGAATATTTTTTCTGAAAACAAATATTGGTATAATAATTTTTATGTTAAGAATATTTAATATAAGTTGTTATTCTCAATATTTATCATAAATGGGGCAAAAAATATATATGCTCTTTTGCTCATTTGAATCATAAGGGCCATTAATTAAATTTAATTGATCAAATAAAAATTATTTGTTTGTCTAATGTTACTGAAATATTTAGGAAGTTTGCACAAAATTAAATTACCTATAATGTTTTTTAACATTTGATACTTTAAAATGTCATTCTTAGCGAGCTAACAGTACAGTTATTATCTATATGATTTATAAATTTTATATTAAAATTATTAAAACCATATACTATAGTCTACTATGGAATGTTTTATTTATGTTTTTTTAAACGCATTTAACTAAATTTGAAGTTCTTTTGCATATTTTGATTAATTTTTAGTAATTAGCAATATGAGTGTTTGGGACATTTTTTACATTTTGTCAAATATCTTGGAAATTTAGTTTCGGACACTTTTATTTGTTTATTTTAGTATAAACTAAATAAAATTTATTAACTTCCCGTAGGGTAGTTATAGTAATGGGTCGAAAATCGAAAATGAAAATTTTTGCATTTTCCGACGTTTTGAAGATTTTTGTACATTTTGGCACACCTCAGAAAAAATGGATGTGTGTGTGTTTTTTTTCGTTCTCGTTTTCTGGCAAATGGATCAACCGATTTGAACGGTTCAAAAAACATTCGAATCCAATTGATAGAGAGATATGCTGTTTTTGGCAAAGGCAGGTCCAGCCGATACGGAGATAAAGAGCAAAGAGTGCAGAACATTCAATTAGTAATGATTGGGAGAAATGGCTATTAGTTTTTGGCAAAAGCAGGCCTAGCCATTTCGAAGATACAGGGCTAAATATACAAAAAATTGCAGTTTTTGGGATAAGCATCCGAATTGAATGATTTAAAAAACTTTCTGCTTGTGCTGACAAAACAATTGCTTTTGGAAAAAAACGGACTTTGTGATTCAGTTTATACAATTCTTATAAATATTATACAATGTTACAGTATTTATAATAATCTATTTGAAAACATTTAATATCCCTCGAACATTTCGTTACGGTACGTTCCAGCAATTTAGATTAAGGCACGATGCCATACACCACTAGTTAGAATTTACTTTACATTGTTCTATACACTTGGATATCAAAATTTTGAATGCGGATAAGTATCAATATGTGGAGTTAGAACATTTTTTTACATTTTGTCAAATTACTTGGAAATTATTACTTATTCATATTAGTGAAAAATAGATAAAATTTAGATTTATAAATCATAAACCATATTAAAACCATAGACTGCTATTCACGTTTTTTACACTACTATTTATAGACTCAAGTTATTAGATTAATATAAATGATCTATTATTAGGCAGTACTTACACATATCTAGTCACTAGACTAGTATTAAGAAACATTAAATACTATTTTAGATGTATGGTCTTGGAATAAATTTTTATTTTTATTACAGGTGCTTATGACTTCTAAGAAAGCCTCAATAGGAACTTTACAACCTGGGTCTTCGTTACAATAAAGGGAAAATGTAATTAAAAACTAATTGGACAAAGTCTTTTTGATGAAAAGGACGAAATTATCCTGTTTGATGACCTTTCAAAACAACTTTACATTGCAAAACAACGAAATCTTTAGTTGCAACATCGGAATTTTATCAAAAAAATGGATTTGTTTTCGCAATTTTTGAAATATTTTGACTGATTCCAAAAGTTTTTAAAACACTGATTTCAAAAATGCTATCCGTTTTTGGACAAATCCACATACACCCTGCAAAAAATGAAAAATTTTGGTTGCAAAATCAAAATTTTACTAATGAAATAAACATTTTTTTCGCAATTTTTGAAATGTTTTGACCGATTCTGATGGTTTTCGAGGCGCTGATTCCGAATATAAAATCAGTTTTTGGGAAAAAAAATCCTCCCACCCCTACGACCAACTTGAAGTTTGAAAAATTGCCAACTTTGAAGCTAATTTTAACTATGAAGACGATGATAAATTTGTAATTTTTTTGCTTTGGTATAAAGCTTGTACTTTATTCTACACAATGCATTCATTAAAATTATTAATTTCATTCATTAAGGGCCTTAAAATTGCATTTGAATGTCACGATTTTGGCCAATTTTGGCTGCCCCTGAAAAACCGATTTTGTATGGGAAAATTAGTAAAAGTTGTAAAATTTATAAATTACACCAAAGTAGGTTTGGGTTACTGCTAA